TATGGCCATTAAACAGCTTTACCACGAGCCAGAGAGGCGGTTCGTGGGAATGACATAGGCTCTTGTTGGGGAGGGGAGGAATTGTCCGGCTCCACCCCATCCTGAGACGCCCCACGTATCTTCCTGAGTGAGGGCGCAAACCTTACTTTCCAAAGGCCTTTGGAGGATGGAGGCCACCGAGCCGGCAAGTGGGAGCAGTTGGGGGGACAGCACCAATTTCCCCTGGGGTGGACTAGGAACAGTAACCTACTGAAGGATCCAGATGCATTTCTGCTAAAAGGCACTGAGTTTCAAGATTTGTCTCTGAATCTCTGCGATCATGGCCATTAGGTACCTTGATCATGAGCCAGAGAGGTCAATCATAGGTGCCAGACAACTCGGGGTTTCGTTGAGGTGGGGAGAAAAGGGCCGGCTCCACCACCATCCAGTTAGGCCCTGCATGTCTCCTCACAGCAGTCCCAAACCTAACCGTCCAGAAGCCATTAGAGATGGCGGCCACTGAGCCGCCAGGCACGAAACCTATTGCCACCTGAAATACCCAGCTTTGGTAACCTACTGTGGGGACCAGACACATTTCTGCTAAGAGCCACTGGGTTCCGAAGATTTGTTATTGAGACTCTGGGATCATGGCCGAGTGATCAAGAGCCAGACAGTCCGTACATGGGTAGCAACTTGGGGTCTCATTGAGGGGGGGAGAAAAGGGCAGAGTCTGCCCCAATCCCATGAGGCCCCACATGTCTTGTCACTGCAGGCCCAAACCTGTCTGTCCAAAACCTGTCTGTCCAATGGCCTCTGGAAGATGGTTGCCACTGAGCCACCAAGTGGGATCAGGCGGAGATACACACCCTTTCCCCCTTGTGGTGGTCTGTAACTGGCAGCTCATTGCGGGAACCGGACACATCTCTGCAAAAAGCCGCTGGGTTCTGAGATTTGTCTCTGAGTCTCTGGGATCATAGACTTTAAGCAGTTTGATCAGGAACCAGAGAGACCTTGCCTCCAATTATATAGTTGAGCCGGAAATGGTTTGTTGGTGTGTCTTGCACATACCTAAATTTTGGCCGTTTACTTTCTTGGAAGACTTTGCCCAAAGTTTTTGTTGTCTGGCCAAAGGCACAGCATCTATTTCGGAGTATCTGGAAGTCTGATGGTGTCATCATTCTGCTAATGCACTTTCCTTACAGGCACAGTTTGACCTGCTGGTGGTACCAGACACCCGGGAAGTAGAAATTCTATATATGGAAAAAAAAACACCAATATTGGCGTTGGACTCATTATAAAGTGAGTAGGATGCTTGCCTTGCTGATCCAGGTCAAACTTCCCCATCCCATAGGAATCCAGCAGCACTGCAGAATAATTCCTGAGCTGCAGAACCAGAAGTAAACCTTGAGCATCAAAGAATCCCTTCGAACTCCCCTGAATTAAAAAAAAAGCTATTAAAATTAATCCAAAGTAGGGCTGAAGTGATAGCAGAACAGGTAGGACGTTTGGCTTGCACATGACCAACCCGGTTTCGAATCCCAGCAACAATATGGTCCCCTGAGCTTTACCAAGAGTAATTCCTGAGTGCATAAGCCAGGAGAAACCCATGTGAAATGCTGGGTGTGACCCAAAAAGCAATAAATAAATAAATAATAATAATCCAAAGAGTAAATTTTCAGAGGCAAATATCCGTCACTTTTCCAAACACGCCCCAAAGTCCCAAACCCAGCAAGGAAGCCAATGAAAATGACTGACGGCAAAAGTGTCCCTTTCCTTTGGGGGCTGCCCGTGAACATACCTGGAGTTTTGATAAGTGTTATGTCCAGTCCAAAGGCTCCAAACATGGTCCTGCGCAGTCTCGAGTTGGGAGGAATGAGATGGCCAAGACCCCCACTCTCTGCAAGCTCCTCACACCAAGGCCTGAAGTCCATGTGCCCACCCTCCAGTGCCATCTTGGACATGGTTGCGATCGTGGCTGCAGGAGCCCTCAGAATAACGCACCCTCACACATGGCACTTGAGCCAAAGAATAGCCCCAATGTACCCCTCAAAAGCTCCACATCCTCTAAAGCCTGGACATCCAGAACAAGTAAAAAAAGCATGAAAGTGCCCTACAAGCTGGTGTGACCTGCCGCACAAGTTCCCAAACCGGGATTTTCAGGGTGCTAAAGCATTCCAAATTCTAACACAGGAAAGACTGACGAATGAAGGTTTACCTGTTTTTCCATTTTCAAAGAATTCAGTGCTGCATCTTGGTTGATTTCTGCCATAATTCCCACCAAACAGCCCCTCTGGGCCAAGCCCGAAGCATAGCAAACAATAAGAGAGTAGTGAGCTGTGACAGCTCTGAGCAGGGGGGTGTTTCTATACCTGTTCATTCAGTCACCTTCCTCCTTATTTTCGTCACCAGGACCCATTATTTACAAGTTAACACACAAGCAATTCTAAGCCCTAGAGTACTGGCATAGGTGCAGCCCGGGTGAAAATCAGCAGGTACATTTCTATGACAAGAGAAGCCTGTTCCGAGCAGGCAGGCTTACTTCCCTCTTAACTGCACTTTTTTAACACCCTTGACCATTGTGTCCAAAGGAAACTTGCTTGTCTGACTTGTCCTGTTCTGTCCTTAGAGACCGTTATGAAGGGATCCAATCATCCGGTATGAATTTTTATATGTTTATTACGGCGTGAGGGGTACATGAAGCCCTTCCCACATTACTGACATATATGCAGTTTGTCTCCAGTATGAATTCTCATATACTGAGTAAGAGAATAGCATCAAATGAAGGTGTTCCCACAAGTCGGACACTAATAAGGTTTCCCTCCACTGTGAATTTTCCCGTGCTTAGAAAGGATTTAGAATGGCAGAAGGCCTTGCCACATTTCTCCCATATATAAGGTTTTTCTCTGGCGTGCTCGAACACGCACACAAAGCAGTGCAGCTCGCACTTTGTCCGAACTCGCAGAGCAGTGCAGAGATGCGATCAAGGAAGACCTCAAAGAGAGAAGAGCAGAAGTACTGGTAGATGCGGCAGAAGCAGCGAAAAGTATTCGTAACGCCCGCCTGTCCTTCACCAACTACAAGACTAAGATGACTGCCCTCCGACGTCCTGATGGATACATCACATCCTCCGGAATGGCAATGGAGAAGATTATCCATGACTTCTACTCAAATCTCTTCGATAGCCATGTCCACTTGCCGACATACCAAATTCCACAGGATGGATATGTCATTCCCAACGTTCTCCCTTCCGAAATCCGACACGCTATTTCGTCAGTAAAGAAACAAACAGCACCCGGCCCAGACAAGGTCAGACCTGAACACCTGAAGAACCTGCCATCAGTACTCATCAATACACTGACTCGCCTCTTCACTCGCTACCTGTCTGAATGCAAGATTCCGTCCCAGAGGAAAACCAGCAGGACCGTACTACTGTTCAAGAAGGGAGACATCCATGACATTGGCAACTATCGCTCAATCTGCCTATTGTCTGTCATGTACAAGTTGTACACTCGAATCATCCTAAATAGGATTGGCAGAACACTAGATGAAGGAAAACCATGCGAGTAAGCTGGGTTCCGCAAAGGATTCAGCACCATCGACCATATCCACACGATAACCAAGCTCATTGATGTTTCTCGGGAGTTCAAGATGCCACTCTGTTTAACGTTCATTGATTTAAAGAAGGCTTTTGATTCTGTTGAGACGGAAGCGGTCATTGAAGCCCTAGCCAATCAGGGCATTCAAGCCCAATACATCAGGATCCTCCGTGAACTGTATTGCGGATTCACTACGAGGATCTCACCATTCTACAAAGAAGTGGTCGTTGATGTAAAGAGAGGGGTGCGGCAGGGTGATACCATTTCATCGAAACCCTTCAGTGCCACCCTCGAGAACATCATGCGACGACTGGAATGGGAAGGAATGGGAGTGAAGATAGATGGTCGGCAACTACACCACCTCCGCTTTGCTGATGACATTGTTTTAATAACACCAAACATCAGCCAAGCGGCACAAATGCTGGCCGACTTTGACCGTGAGTGTGGAAAGGTAGGACTACAGCTGAATCTTACGAAGATGATGTTCATGAGAAACAGCCTCATTCCTGACGCCCCATTCGCTCTCAACGGAACAACCATCTCCGAATGCAACAGCTATGTGTACCTAGGTCGAGAAGTCAACATGACAAATGACCTGGCACCCGAGCTGCGCAGGAGTAAGAGAGCAGCTTGGAACGCCTTCAAGAACGTCGGAGAAATAGCTAAGAGGACGAAGAACCTCCGGCTCTGGGCACATCTGTTTGATTCCACTGTTCTTACTGCATTAACATATGCCTCAGAGACCTGGGCCCTACACAAAAAAGATGAGAACGCTATTCAGGTCTCCCAAAGAAGAATTGAAAGAGCTATGCTTGGAATATCACGTTTCACTCAAATGAAGGAAAGAATCCGGAGTTCTGACATGCGTCGACGATCAAGAATCAGGGACGCTGTCTCGTTTGCCAAGGTATCAAAAATCAGATGGGCTGGTCACGTAATGAGATTTAAAGACAACCGCTGGACTAGAGCTGTTACTGACTGGATTCCACAGGATGTCAAAAGACCGCATGGCCGCCCACCTACCAGATGGTCAGACTTCTTCGTGAAGATCATGAACGATCGGTCTGAGGCTCTTCATGTTCCCAGAGCCAACAGATGCCATTGGGCTACACTAGCACGCAACAGGGACAAATGGAGATGTTACTTGCGCCCGCTAGAGCAAATCGACGACTAACAGAAAGTTAAGTTATTCTCTGGCGTGAATGCTACTGTGTACACTAAATCTGAGGTTTCTCAAAATGCCTTTCTACATTTCTTACATGTATATGATTTCTCTCCTGTGAGTATTCTCCTATGTACATTAAGTATTGAGGACAAACAGAGGCCTTCCCACATTCCTTACATATAAAGTTTCTCTCCAGTGTGAATTTTCCTACGTACACTAATATTTGAGGTTGTAGCAAATGCCTACCCACATTCCTTACATATATATGGTTTCTCTCCACTATGAATACTCCTATGTACAGTCAATTGTGAGGAAGAAGTAAAGGCCTTTTCACACTCCATCCATATCTAAGACTTCTCTCCAGTATGAATTCTCATGTGCAGAGTAAGGGAAGAGAACCGTGTGAATGCCTTTCCACATGTCTGACACTGATAAGGTTTCTCTCCAGTGTGAATTTTCCTATGTTCACGAAGTGTTGAGGCTCCAGCAAAGGCCTTCCCACATTCCTTACATATATGTGGTTTCTCTCCAGTGTGAACATTCCCATGTTCACTAAGAGTTGAGGCTACAGCAAAGGCCTTCCCACATTCCTTACATATATACGGTTTCTCTCCAGTGTGAATTCTCCTATGTTCAGTAAGCTTTGTGGCTCTAGCAAAGGCCTTTCCACATTCCTTATATATATGCGGTTCCTCTCCAGTGTGAATTCTCCTATGTACACTAAGATATGAGGCTACGGCAAAGATCTTCCCACATTCCTTACATATATACGGTTTCTCTCCAGTGTGAATTCTCATATGTAAACTAAGTCTTGCGGCCCAAACAAAGGCCTTTCCACATTCTTTACATCTATACAGTTTCTCTCCAGTGTGAATAATTGCATGTCTACTGAGGCTTGACAACTGAGTAAAGGCCTTGCCACACTCCTCACATATATAAGGCTTCTCTCCACTATGAGTTTTCATGTGTCTATTAAGATGTGAGGTCTGAATAAAGGCCTTCCCACAAGTCTGACATTTATATGGTTTCTCTCCTGTATGAATTCTCCTATGCAAAATAAGATTTGCTGATCTACTGAAGGTCTTTCCACATTCTTCACATGTATAAGGTTTCACTCTTGCATTAATATTCATATGGTCATGATGGGGTAACCCTTGACTCACACTTTGCTCTTGGGGCTGACTTTTCTGGGGATTCTGTTCACTGTGGTTTTCTAAGGGAAAAACACAGTGCTGGGAACATGGGGAGGCTCCCCCACCTTCCTTACACCTAGATGGGTTCTGCTCACGGTGATTGTGGTTGAGGGTATGTTGCTGTGAGGGACTCACTATAAACAGTGATCCTCTCCCTAGAAGGTGCCCCATTGGGGAATTTTTTGCCTGTGAACTGAGAATAACACACTCCAAGGAACTTTTTCCAGGAGAGGACTTCTTCAGAGTGAGGTAGCTCTCACCATTCTGATCACCCTCAGAAGACATCCCGCCTGTCTCGGCGTTCTCATGGGGCTGAGGGTAGGATTGCTCACTAGAGACATTGTAACACAGTGTAGGATCAGAGACATTCCACTTGGGGTGGCAGTTTTCCTGTAGAACAACAGAGGATTCTAATTATTGACTTATTCACTGAGTCTTCCTGACAAAAAATGAGCCCTTCAGCTGTGGTTTCACACATATGCACCACACAAATGCAATTTCCGACATACGAATTGCCTTACAATAGAATAATTTCATGTAACTGTAAGTTGGACACACAAAATTGATGGATGCAGAGTCAGTAAATTCTGTGGCTTTCTCCCCTTTAAATTAATGAATGAATACAACTGGAAATAATTCCTTCTATAGAAAATGGAAGCATCTATTTCAAGAGAAAATGAAATAGATCCACATGCGGGTTTGGTTAAAGTTCCGTGTGGAACCTGTGATGCAGGGGTGAAGACAACGCTGCATCGTCACGCAGCTGAGACAGACCACGTGGCCATTGCAAAGCTCTCACCACAAGTGATGGCTTTCAGGATCAATGAAGTTTTTTGTTCTTTCTGTTTTGTAGTTTCTATTTATTGGGGGTGGGGTGGTGGATGGTCACACCATGCAGTGTCTAGGATGATTTCTGTGGGTCTATGCTGTCCATAAGGTGTGCTGGGTAAGGAATATCCGTCCATGTGCAAAGCAATTATATTTCTCACTGCACCATCTCTAGGGCGCACAAATTAGCTTTCTAAACAACTACCACTTTCAAGCAAATAAAAACTCACAGTATTTTTAAACATGGTTGATTTCAGCACCTAGTGAAGCTAAGGGTCCTCTACTTCAAGCATCAGGCTTTGGAATTCCTCCCTGCCATTCTCAGCCTTCCACCTTAACAATCACATACTTGGTCCACTCCTGCTGGCATAATAATATTTATTCTGAATTAGCGAATCTTACCAACTCATTCGTACTTGCTGACCCCATTCCCAAATCAAAGTGCTGTAATGCCAAATCCTGAAGTCGCGGTTTCCGTTCTGAAACTGAACAAAACATGCAAATCAAGCACATGTCAAAAAATGTAGCATAATGATGCCATGTAGTTAACAGTACATCTCTGTGGTTCTCAAAGTCCAAAGAGTCCCACACTAAAGAAAAGATTCGGAAAGTGGAAAACTGTGAGGATCTTGGCAATTCTACACTAGGTTTTGTTTTTGTTTTTGAGTAGACCTGGTAATGTTCAGGGAACCAGGTTATTGAACAAATTATAGAACAGTTTACCTTCAGGCACTGCAAGGCACTCCCTGCTGTACTATCGTTCAGATCCAAACTAGCTCTGTTATGGTCTTACTTATTCAAAAGCCATGGAAGCAAATTACAGGATCATTCTGTGATTGACAGTCCAGGGAAATGAAGAGCAGCATAAGTGCGGCACAGACCCAAGGATCCAGGAGCCCAAGGCCCCGGTCTCAGCAGCGTGTTTCCTACATGTTCATCGCACCCATACACTGCACAGGGCCTGAGCCAGGAAGGGTCCTCAGACACTCACCCGCACATACGCCTCTCCTCCCCGACATCAGGGCTTCTCCTTCCAGCCAGGAGATCACTGCAGGCTTTATCCCAGAGTGCCCTGCCCCAACAGAGACAGAGGCATGGATAAGTGACAGGGAGATGGTGACAGGTAAATCCCCATATTTTCCTGATACAAGTGGACATATATCTGAAAAGCATGAACAGAATGTCCATTTCCAAAATGCCACATATTTCTAGTTATTCGAGAGGTAAGACCCAAGAAAATACCACAAATACTCTAGACCTGACCTTGTGTATGGCCGACAGGGGGTTGATCAGCACAGTATGTTGTTGGTTTTTGTCTTCTTTGGGGTCTCACCTAGCCATTCTGAGGGGTGACTCCTGACTCTGTATTCAGAAATCACTGCTGCTGGTGCTTGGGGATGACATGGGATGCCTGGGATTTAATCCACGTGCGCCGCTTGCAAACATCTGCCGCCCAACCCCTGGGAGCCTACGCGGGTCTGTTTAGACAAGGTTGGCTCCACACTGCTCTCACCGACAGCCTGCAGATGCTGGTAGGTCTCCAGCATCACGTCACTGTAGAGCGTCCGCTGAGAGGCCTCCAGGCATGACCATTCCTCCTGGGTGAAGTTCACAGTCACGTCATGGAAGGTCACTGCATCCTGAGTCAGCACACAAAAAGGGTGGGAGTCAGAGTCTATCTTAACCTCATTCCCACTACTCTGAGGCTAGGTGCCAGGGTCCTGTATTGTCGCAGGGCCTCTCCATTCCAAATGAACCAGCCTCCATGCACACGCATGACTGACGGGCCCCAAAAATCACATAAGGAAACTGAATCTGCTAAAGTTGGAGGAAGTTTTACAGAAGGTTCTTGGATGTATCTGTTTTCCTGGTAACCCCCCGGCCAATTCGAGCACCACTCGTCCAGTGAGCACTGTAGAGAGGATCACCTGAACACAGACTTGTACGATCCAAAAGGCTATCCCTGGGTGTAGCAAAAACCACTGCACGCTCACCGCTGCAACCCCACAGCACATGACCACTAGGATTGAGATCTCGACAGTCCATATAGACAATTACTCAGAGCAGTGCATGGCATGTGTGCCTGTAGGAACTCACTGCTCAGGACTGCCCCAAATCCTGCTCAAACAAGGTAGAAGTTTTGTGACCCCAACATCTCTACTGGCCGCAGAGATCCTTGGCTCTTTCTCCTTGGGATCGGCGCATGCCCAGAAATCCACACACAAGATTATGTGAAGGCAAGACTGTATGACCGAGCAGGTAGTCTCTCCAAAGTAGGAAGGACAAAATAGGAGAAAAGCAAGTCTGGGGGTAGTTGCCAGGATGCAAACGAGGCCATCACAACCCAGGGTGCTCTGAGGCCAGTCAGTTGTGAATCTAGAGCAAAGAGTCAAGAGGAAAGCTAATGACAAAAACAATGCAAAAGAAACCAAAGAAGCAGGTTGGCGTAACACGACAGCTATTCCGGGGACAGCATGTAGGACTGGCGATCCCGGACATCCCATATGGTCCCACAAGCACCGCCAGGGGCAATGCCAGAGTGCAGCACAGGGAATGATTGCGAGAATCCTTGCTCTGCCACCCCTAATAAAACAGAAAACCCAAGATGAAACCTTTGGACCTCCAGCATCCCATTGATCACCTAGACCTTTCAGGAAAGAGCATTGAGCACAGAGTTTTGAGTACTCCTCATGCACCATTGGGTTGGCCCCAAAGCCAAATAAAACAAAACAAACATACACAAAAGCAGCTTCAAACACCAGAATGGGACAGTCCGATCAGAAGTCTCATCTTGGAATCCGTCCAAAAGAAACTCAAAACAGAAGGCCCAGGAAACCTGGGCACTCCTGATACTACCTCATGTCATTCTATCCATCTACTTCTACCTGTGGACGGTTTATCAGAAGCTGTGTCACCATCTTCTACTGTCACTATTGTTCTGAGTATCAGCAGGAGGCTCCGTGCAAAGACCTGGAGAAAACAGAACAGTGAGCACCAGAGAGGAGCACCTCCTCCCAATTCTGAGCCAGACCAGCCATACCCTCGGGCACAGCCTCACAAATCCACCTCTGGGAGACAATGGAAGAAGCTCCTGTCTCCGCTGGGGATGCAAATTTTGTTGGCATCTGTGCTGTACTTCAGGAGAGGAGCCTGGGACCAGGCTACAGGGGAGGAAAAGACAGCCTTCTCTGATTCCCGGATTCTTCTCTGGCTCCCACAGGAAAGTCCCAATAGGCCCTGCCAGGGGCTGACTCTCAGTCCAGGAGCTCCCAAATACTAGCGCCCCCCTTCAGGTTGGCAGCAGTGCTGCCCCCAGGGAACCGTAGCCTGAAAAGTGGCTCCACCATGTGACTTAGAGTGGACAAATCTTTGACACTCGTTTACAGGGTGGACAAGGACATGAACCTGGGCACTCTGTCCCGGGAACCTCAGTATTTACCACAATGTCAGGTGTCGTCTGCTCAGGGAGAGATGAAGAGTCAGGGTTGCATTGCAGCTTGATGTGAGCGAGCTGAAATTCATGAACCTAAAAAAGATATACAAGTATTGTGGTTAGATGGTAATAATGTGAATTGGGCGCTTGACTAGATGAACCGATCAATCCTCTGCATCCCATATGGCCCCTAGCAGCGCCAGGGACAATACCTGAGCTTAGAGACTCGAGTAAGTCATGAGCATCTCCGGGTATGTGCCCTCTCTCCCCCCTTAAATATAAAGAACCAAAATAGCCCTGCCCAAATACATTTTCATTGGCAAACCTCAGCCACCTGCAGGCCACATTCCCCCTCACATACCCCGCATGATCGCGGCTCTCATGGCAGACAATGAAAATGACCAGCAACAAGTCTCCTGCCATTAGGTGGAGGGGCTGAAGCTCTGCCCCTCAAATCTGGAGATTCCGCAGAAGCGAGCGTAGGGCCGATGGTTCAACCATGGGACTGCTGGGACGGTTGGAACAGCCAAGCCCTCGGATGATTCCCACATTCAGCCACTGTTGCCCCATCCCGGAGCTG